CAGTTGATTTCAAACTACCATGACACCACTGTATCTCGTATTTCACCACTTTCACAGTACTCATCTTACCTTTTCTCTACCATGTGACTATCTTTCACTTTACATCTGTGAATCACTCTTCTTTCCCCCATCTCGAATTTTTCTCACTAGGGGTGTGCGAAAGACTTACCTCCACGTGGTGCATACTGGGCAACGTATACTCATACGGCAAAAAAGTCAATTAATTGGCAGTTGACTTCTCACTTCAAACTACCTCACTATATATCATATTCCACTACTTTCACAGTACTCACCTCATCTTTTTTCTACCTTTGTGTCTGTCTCTTTTACATCTTTGAAACACTCTTCTGTCCCAAATGGCAGTAGATAATGCTAATTGCTTACCGCAATACCATCAAATACCAACAAATTTCGTGGAAATTAGTAATTAATTAACTAGAAGTAATTATGGTATGAATTTAAAATTGACCTTACTGTAATGATGCAGAAAAGAGCTGCTAATGATAAACAGTTGACAATAGTGAAAAAACAAAAAGTACGGAAAAACATAAACTAAAAATTTGTTATGCGATCTAAGTTGGATTAGAATTAACTAAGTTGACATGAAAGGGAAGGGATGAGAATAAGAAAGAACTACCTTTGGACGATTAAGACTAGTAAGATTGGTTGCAGAGGCCGCCTGATTGGCATTGGCTGAATTCGATTTATTGAAAGGGAAGAAACGAGAAAGAAATCCAACACCGATTCCACGGGAGTTGCTATTACTCGCTTTGGGTGTCTTAGCGCCCTCATCACCAGACTCCAGTGAAGGCAACGAAGGGTCGTTGGGAGGTGGAGTGGTGGGAAGTGACTGGTTGTTAAAGAGGAGATTGGGCGCTGATTCGGATGTGATCACCTGGGTGATATTGGCGCCGCTCCAGTCTCGTACCCACATAGGGTCTTTTGCACATGGTGCGGTCATCACCAATCCTCCCGAACTCTGAAATCAGAAAATAAAAATCTCGACATGACTAGCACTCTGTCCTTAGAGCGATCTACACTAGAAGCTAGTGAGAAGGCTCTTAACTAGACCCTTTCTGTACTATGAAAGACCGTGCAATCGAGTTTAAGTGTTATCACACATTAAGGCACAGCAGTTGGGATAATCGCTACGAGGAAATGGTAGTGAAAAGTGATTATCCAACCCGTATATTAATTGCAAAATTTCTATGACTGCTAGAACATGATGATACGAAAGACAAAAACCCATCATACTGTAACCAGAAAAGCAAGCATAAATAATGTTTAAGAAGCTAATCTGAATGAACACATTCAATAGTGCTTTTCATTAAGTATTACTGTAAATCAATGGCAAGCTATTCGCCATGTAATAGCTCCACTCCACGCATGCAGCCACTCGTTATGTCCGTCACAAAAAAGCTAAACGAACTTTTCCCATCTAATTTCGCCATAAAATTTCTGGCAGGTCAAGTATGCTAATGATTGTGATTAATAAAAGGAAATATTTTTGCAAATTTCATTGTGAATATGAATTAGGGGATTTTCAAAATTAACAAGAACAGGCAGTCTTTAAATCACCATTCATTTAGAAGAATGAAAAAAAGTGCCACAGAAAAAACTACCTCTTTTTCAGCACCCCCCTCCTCCCCCAATTAAAGAGGCGAATGATGAACGTAGACTATGGAGGAGACTGGCAATCAATTATGTGGAGCCCTCGGCTTTAGCTATGTAAGCACACAAAAACTTCATGAAATCGAAAAAAATAAACACACTTTTGGGGTTTATGGGAAGAACTGACTAAACCTCTGGTGCATTGGTAGAGAAAAAGAATAGTAATAAAATGTAATGTAATATATATATATATATATATATATATATATATGTGTGTGTGTGTGTGTGTGAGTGTGCATGTGTATGTGCGTAGAGTGAGGCCTGTTATGTTAAAAAGCGGTTGCTTATCCTGGCTGTTAAATGATAAATAAATGGTCGACTACGGAACGAAATAAACCACCTAAAAAGATCTCAATATTGTGGATGTAATCTCATTCATAAATAGGGGAGGGGGGGGGGGTAATTTAAAAAGAAAGTAAACACTAGGATATAATGTATAGATAATGAATGTTTTGAAAACTCGAAGCTTCTACAATTAAAACAAAGCAAGACTCTTGAGGCTCAAAATTCGTCTCCTAATTCGTTTTAATCTTACCATCTATGGCAATAGCGATTTAATTACATGTGTCAACAGGCTATTATCGATTCTTTGGATAATAACAACCACTCCACCATTACTATGCATAACTCAGCTATTTTACAATGGTGAACTAGTTAGAAGACGGGATTAACGAAAAAGTGTCAGCCATAAGAAAACTAAAGCAAATTCGCACACACGCCTAATATATATTCCTGGTGAGGGCTAAAAGGCCTCCCACTTACTACCAACAATACCATTGTTTTCGTGTTACTAAGGCCATCATTAGTAGTTACCATGACAACCAAAAACGGTGTTTTGGCTTAGCTTAATAGCCGCAGAGTTAAGGAAGAGTAGGAGACAACTGAATGTGCAATTAACATTGTAAGTCGAATAGATATTAACCTTAAGGCAATAAAAGAAATTGAACCGAATTCATTCAATGTTTAATTTAAAGAATTTGTCTGACGGGCGCTAATTGATATTGCTGTCCCTCGTAACTCTATATGAAGAAATCTCAATGGTATGTTACCGATACACAAGAACCATAGAGTCCGATATGATGATTTCTTGAAAAAAATGTGAAGAAACAAAAGCACAAAATCAGTTGGACAAGGAACCAATTTAATTATGACCTCGAAATATGCAAACAGACTAATATAATTATAAAAAAACACTTAAAAACAATAGAAACATGCAATGAAAGCTAATTTCTCAAAGAAAATTATCTAGAAAATATTTTCCCATATTAGAATATCGTTTCAGCTTTACATTAACCACCAATCTGAAATTACCTTCATAAGCAAATTCGAATTCTATGAACCAGCTAAATTAGAATGGACTATAAAAGGCCCACTTCACAGAAATAAAACTATCCTTCGCTAGCATTTATTCTTCCCACCTCTTGCCATTTTGAAGGCCAGTGAAACCCCCTTCGCCTAGAAATGTTCGAAGTAGCTGAGAGATGCCAGTAGAAATCAACGGTTGCGCTTTGTACAGGTAAGAAATACAAAAATAGCATTAGCCAATTGCCAACTTTTCAAGGATAGGTAAAACACGTTTGTGGAAAATTCGATTTAATGCATACTGGTCAGCAAGGGCATCACTAGAGCTTTGTCAGAAATGGGGAAATAGAGAAGCTCCCATTTCAGGTATTGCCATCTAACATGCTACTTTGTGCGGCGCATTAAAACCAACAATGTATTCAAACTCACCCCATCCGAAGACAAAGAGTCTTTTTCATCGTAGCAATCGACTGGAGGCGGCTCAGCGAAGCTTTGTTGTGGTGTCTTTTCCAAGGAGAGCCGTGGTGATTTACGAAGACCCGATAGCTTTCGATGCAATTGGAAGAGGGTTTCTTCAAACATCTCGCGATCAAGAAGTTGTTCGCAGCCTCCAGCATCCTCTGCTTGTTGGGTAATGCGATGGCAAGTCTCTAAATAAATCTGCAACTTCTCAGCTTGTTGATTTAAGACAGTTCTGCAGTGTAAAAAAGCATTTAAATTTGTGCAACAATAGGGCTAAAATAAAATCAACGGTTTGAGTGAGGTGGATATCGTATTCAGACTCTATGCCTGCATATGTGAAAAACGACCCTAAAAATTACGTAGGATTTGACTGTCTATTTAAATGTCATTTAATCCATACGTGTTCTCTAGTTATGTAGGCAGTTGTTACTAGGTCATAGTGGAATTGAAGGAAGCTACCTCAAAATATCGACTTGTAAACTTATGTAAAAAGTTTAACCCATTCAAATACTAATTAAATGAGATAATGCTTCAACAAACTGCAAAGTGAATGTCATCACGAGGCCAATAAAATATGGAATTAGGAGTAACATGTATTAGAGACCCTGTGAAGTGCGTTAGGAGCTCAAGAAATAAACATCTGAAATTAACATAAGTACCAAGAGATAGAAAACGACAGACTTAGGAGAATCACAATGTGAAAAACTGTGCTAACAGGTTTCAACGCTACGATGGGTCAATACAGATTATTTTAGGGAGGAGAGATCAATAAAATCCACACGCAAGAGTTAAACATAGAGGAGAAAGCGGACAAGGAGGGTCAACCAAAGATTAAAAAGTGCACTGTTTGTTAATAAAAAAGCAGTAAATGCTATAGTTTTTGGAAAAGTTATAACTCGAAGACCAAGGGGGTTTTGGTAATGTAATTGAGGCGAAGAATGTTGAATCTAAACTTAATGTACAGGAAAAGTTTTCGATATGCAGTGTCACGATCACTCTGGTTCGCCGATGTTTAAAGCGCCCAGAGATCTAGTTGATGATGATGTCTGTACCAAAAGCGTTCGCATAGGGTTGGAAGCTACACAATTCAACGGTTTCATTTGCATTTCCCCTAAGTGGAGAATCACGATTTTATAGAGGCAGGAATTGACAATGACTTTAACCAAGGTTGAAAACTTACCAGACTAGGAAGAAAGTAATATGAAATGGCGTTTTGGTAACGTAAGCACACTTTTAGCACTTTTCACGAACTTTAAGCAAAATGTGCCATGTGATAAAGAAATTAGCTGTGCCCTAAGTCAACCATTGTGTACCAATTAGAGTATAGAACTACAAGAGTTGAAGTAAACATTTTTATGAGAATGTTGGGATTAAAATAACTTTTGTTAAATTGAAGGGCTCCAACTAAATGAAAACCAACGTCTATACTCCCAAAAAACAGCAGCTATGAGGTCCGAATCCATTAAGCCTACATTGTTAACAAACAATAACAATTTGACCAATGGTCATAAAAATCAAAATCTTTTAAGAAAGAAGAGAGGATAAAAACAATTAGTACATAGCTCCTTTGCAAATTCCATGCCGCTTGAAAAGTACAAATTATAAATAAGCCAATTGCATTTAAAGGACAAAACACGAACAAATGCTCACCTGAAGCTCTCGATTTCTGCTACCTTATCAAGGAGACTTTGACAGCGTAAATTTGACGCCGAGGTGATTGAATTGAGAGAAAGAAGAGAACTCTGGGTTGTGAGTGCTTGTTCTGAGCTGTAGCCAGACTCCGCCAAGCGGTGTTTCTCAATACAATCCACCCAATGGCGTCGCGATTGAGGAGAAGGACATCTGAAGTACCAGGTAGAATCTCCTAAGCTCACCTAAAAAAAGACGTAGTTATTTATTATGGATCCAGATGTGCATAGTGAAGTAGTTGATAGGCTGTCTCAGCAGTTGCTTTAAGGAAAAATGACTCTGCATTGCACTAACCACAAATAAGCTCGAGTGAACATTATGTGTAAACCGAGCCTGTGTTTATATCGGCAAAATGATATCATTCTGTTATTTGAAAAAATGAATCCTTTTCATCAACCCAATATAGCAATCTAACATGGCACATAAACAGGTTAAAAATAATTAATGTAATAAGTTAAGCATACAAATTAACTAAAAAACAATAATACTAATCTACGTTTAGAATGTCCCTGATGCATTTGCAAGTAGAATTAATATCACCATAATAATTTAAAGAGATCAGTACAAAATATTTGACCAACAACCCCAAAAACTAAGATATGAAGTTACGAATTTAAGTATTGAAAATTAGGCATTCATGAGCTAAGAGATTCATTAATTGTAGACCCCTTGAAGGTGAGGCACGATTGATAGGGAAAACTTGCAATTGTACAAAATTAAAATGCAGCGCAACATACGGAGAAGTAAATTGTCTATCCAATTTCAATGTCTGAATTGATCTGCCAAAGCAACCATAAAAACCGACTAAGAAATCGAAGAGAGGGTCATGAATTTCAAACACTAGATAATGAACAAAAAGTAAAAATTAACTAAATGTAATTTTCACTAATGTCTTGTGGTAATAGGCAAAATATATTTAGTAAAAGTGCCGACTCATCAACGGTTAAAAAATAATTAGCTCTAAGTTTTTTGTTAGAAACAGTAGCAAAACTTATAAAATAGAATACAATAGTATACAATAAAATCCCATTAACGTACGTCGATTCGGCAATCATCGTAAGGATGCGGCTGGACCTGAGCATTTTTTAACCTAATAGCTCCGCGACAGCCCTCAGCAATATCATCAGCACTTTTAAAGTAACTTAAAACTCCGTTCTTGAGAACGAAATATCGTTCTTGCCAACCATGTAGCATGTTGGTCCATTTATTGAGATTTCCAGTAGTGACAGGCAGATTGCGATGGAGTTCTTCATCAGAACCGTCCCCATCTGATACATCAACGAGGCGCGATGCATGCTGAAGGAAGTTATGCAACTGAGGCTGAAACTGTTGCTTTGGGGAACCGGATGAAGATGACATCTAAAAACACATGGACAAATTTCTAGTAAGGTTCCAGTGTAATATGAAAAAAGTACGTCATATATTCAAATTATCTATTTATAATTTGATAACACAAGTTGGAATTTTACGTATTAGCAAATTACAAGAGTAAATAAAAACATCATAGCGGAACATACCAGTTCATCGGAATAGTCTTGCGCAAGGCAGAAGCCGTTAATTGGTTAAATCGGCATTTAAGGTCTTTAGAAATCATTATCAATGTTTTAAATGATTATCTGCCAGTTTCAAAAATCACAATAAAAAATAATATTTCAGCATTAAAACGTAAAATTATTGTTTAATAGTAATTTTTTGATTAAAATACTGCAAAAAACAACGAGTTTATTTTGGTGATATGAATTAAATGACGAGATATACAAAAAAGGTAAAGTACCGAGATGAAGAAAATAAACTCATCATTTGTTTTTTTCTATTTCTTATATCCTCTTATTTAATTACATTGGCATAAAGAATGCATCTTCCGTGCACGGAGTTTAGTATTGTCAGAAAATAATATGTGACAAGAAAGAAACTTGAGAATAGGAATTATATTATTTATGGAATATTAGCAAAGCATCCGAAAACGCTTTCTCATATACAAAGAAAAAGTGTACGAGTGGGATTATTTCAACCTTTTCTTGCCTTCCAAAATAAGTGTTTTCTAATTAAATGCATTCAAAAATCTAAAAGTATTTTAGCAAATCTAATTAGTACACTTTACACAAGAAAATAACTCAGATAAAATTATTTGTTATAGTAAAGTTAAAGAAAGAATTTCAATAATAAATTTAAAGGTCTTCTGCTCAAAAATATTATGCTAAGAAGCTTCTAACATTTTATTATCATTCCTTTTCTTTCTTCATTAATTTATATTGCCATAAATTGAATGCTGGAATAACTGGTCCTTAATTTTTATTTTGGGAACCTGCTTAAAATGCAAATGTTATTCATCCAAAAATTTCAAATATGAAACAAAGAATGGCAGTTACAAACTTTTCAAAATCCAACAATATTAAAATGGTTGTGTTGAAATGTCACACAACTATATGTAATAGTATTAGACCTATTAGACCATATTTTCAATTCGTTTTTTATGCTATTTGATTTCAAAGCTGCAAATTTTAATGATTTAATATACTTATTTCTGCATAAAAGCATCAGTGTTGGGACTGCGAAAAATAATTACAGCATTAATGACCAATTGCTCAAGATATAATAAGAATCAGTAAAAGCTTTCTATAAATTTGATCGCATTAAAACTCAAATTGAAACAAATCTACTTTTTGTTAATAGAAAAGCTCAAATCAAATTCCAACCGTATAGGAGTTTTGGCAAATGCTTTTATCAGAGTGAAATGTGAATTAGCCATGTCTAATTCTCAGCAATCTCTGTTAATAAATTTTCCCACATGAAATTGTGCCTGAAATTAGCTAAGCCAACAATGTTGTGGGAACAGAGGGTCTGATGTGATTACCATTTATTCTAGTTGAGTAGCACTGCTGAGGATCTTAGGCATTGAAACCGGTTTGTTGGGTAGCTGGCATTGCAATGACTATGGAATACTAAATATTTCAAAAGTCTCTGCACTGGAGATCTCATTTTTTACCTAATACGATCAATAGCACAACCAAGATCGTCCAAAGATCGCATGATATTTCTTAGTTCACAAGTGTTAGTGTTTCGTGCTCCACATGCACCCATATTTAATTATCTCAAATGGCAGGCGTTTCGATACCTATCATTGGCCTCGTAGCGGATCTTCATGCTTCAGAGAGGAGAGGAACATCAAAGTGAGAAAAAGTGGAGAGAGTGAGCAAAAGAGTGATTCACATATGCAAAAGAAATAGACAGACAACGAAGAGCAGAAAAGATAAGATGAGCACTGGAGATGTGGTCGAATGTGGCATACAGTGTCGTCATAGTAATTTGAAGTCCGAAGTCAACTGCCGGTTTATAGAATGTTTGTCCATGGTGAACCACGTGGGGGCAAGTCTATCGCACACCCACTTGGTCCCATATAGAGACCACAAGGACAATTCTTATTTGCGATAATAGCAACTGGTATCAATGAATACTTTTAATTTTCAGGTTGTCAAAATATTTACCAGTTTATAAAAGAACATGCGTCAATAAAAGAAACTGCTTTAACTAACTTAGTTTTACTTTCAGAAACAAAAATATGAAACCTTATAAATTTAAAATTGTTATATTATTTTTAATGAAACGCTATTCGAATTTTAACAATAAATAAAAATAATCTATTAATGATTTAAATTTGACAAGTCTAAATCAATTCTGCCATAAAGAAACCTCACATAAAATTCAATTCAAGATTTTTTTTGTAGCTGTTCATTTACCTAACCATTTTATTAATATTACTTGTTTTATATGCTAAAGAGAATGACCTATACGTTCAGAGATGATATTGCGCAATTTACGAGCTTTTTGGTATTGTTGTTAAATCTTTTGAAATTTTCCGGTGACATGAGATCAGTTATACACGTTAATGAAAATTTTTCTCTTGAGTGGACTTTATCTCTGTCAAACGTTGGGTCTTATTTAAGTATTGATGACATATTGTCTACGAACCAAAGATTACCTTGCCGTGTACGTTCACCACCTCCTAAACTCGCTTCTTTGTTAAGTGGTTCTTTACCATCAAGCACATTACGCAAAGATCAAAAAGATGCAGGAGACGTTGAAATATCGCCAGGCGCTAAAGTGGAGGTGCCATTTTGGCTTCTGAAGTCTGCAGGTAATAGCGCTCGACATATTTTCCAAATGGATCTTCCTTCCATTTACCAAGTGCGTTAACTTTGCTTCAATTTTATGAATTTTCTTGTCGCTTTCGACTATTTGATTTTTATGCCTTTTATTTTTATCTAGTAGCTTTAATATATTTGACTTTATGTGTCTCATCTTTGCTCTAATTCTTTTTGCTTTTTTATGTCTAGGAGAGTTATCGAGAAGTTTTTGCTGCCAATGCATGGGTTGTGGATCTTCGGAAGAAAAGTCCATATTTTTATTCATTTTGTTGTCATCTGGCTAAGCTTTCTTTATCGGAGATTCCTGCAGTTCTTTCTACGCTTGAGGAAACTTTTAAGGTTAGTATCTCCACTTTTCTCATAAATTGCATCTCGACTGCTTTCATTAAAGTAGCAGGCAATAGTACTGACCTTAAGCATTGAATAATTGTAAATAAAGTTGCTATTTGCTTTTGAATCAGCTCCTTTTATCATCTAAAATATTTTAAACCGCTATGTTAATGCAACTCCTCTTTTTAGCATCGTTTAATAAATCTCATGGAATCCGCTCTCAACGCTAACAAGGGGTCGATGCTTTCACTAACGGCAAGGTATAATTCTTCTAATGTATTCCTGTTATCGGAAGTATGTTCTTTTTAAATCGTCTTACATTAAACTAGACTATTCAAACATCTTATTAGATTTGTTTTTGAAAACCGATTCGACTAAATTCGCATTCTACTGGCCATGTAATTTCGCATTGAATTATGGAATAGTTCATTGAACTCCAATTAATTAATTTATTTTCTATTACTCGGTTATTTTACATTTATTGGACCTCTTTTCCCATGAAGAATAGAGTGTGGACGAATTTCCATTGACGCTATTGGTAGCTAGTTGGTAATTGCTCTTGGCAACTCAATTTCTAATATCTATCTCTCTTTGCGAGTCTTCTGTCATAATTTTTTCTGTTTGCTTACTTTGGTGTTCCTGATCATTGTGATAAGATTTTGCATGTTCATATTCGATGCACCGTTTTGCTTTGGTTTTCCATTAATATAGAATAATGGCTCATATGTTTTCCTCTGCCACGTTTTCCTCGAAGCTGTAGTGATTTCCTAACTTCAAAAAAATTGGCTTTGGAATAAAGTGATCTACGGCCATCATTGACTTTGCCATATTTCGTTTATATTTACCTTCCAATTCTTTTCAAATGTAAGGCAAGGTAATCATAGATCGCTTTTATGAGGAATTCGCATTCTACCGCTAACTATTGGGTTGGCAACTAAGTCATTGCCGTTTTTGTTGGCAGATTCACTCTATACTTTCTTTTGTTTTGTTAACGTGGCCAGAGCATCTAACCTATATTTTTTTCTTACTGTATGGGCTTCTAGGTTAATTAGAAAAAAAATTTTTTGTTTAGTTCTTTAGTTTTGTTTTTATCCCAATTTAATAATGAAAGAGCAGGACGTGCACATCCGACACATTTTATTGTATTACTTCCGAAAAGGCAAGAACGCATCGCAAGCACAAAAGAAGTTATGTGCCGTATATGAAGATGAAGCCTTAAAAGAAAGGCAGTGTCGAAATTGGTTTGAAAGATTTCGTTCCGGTAATTTTTCACTGAAAAATTCACAACGATCTGGCCGCCCAGTCGAAGTGGATGAAACCCATATCAAGGTCATTATCGATTCAAATCGTCACAGCACAACACGAGATATTGCAGAGAAGCTCAATGGGTCGCATACATGCATTGAAAAAAAATGAAAAACCCTTGGTTATGTCAAGAAACTTGATTTATGGATCCCTCACCAGTTAAAGGAAATTCATTTGACGCAACGGATTAGCATCTGTGATTCGCCGCTACTGAAACGCAATGAGAATGATCCATTTCTGAAGAACCTAGTTACTGGCGACGAAAAGTGGATAGTTTATAACAATGTTACTCGCAAGAGATCATGGGTTACGCAAGATCAACCAGCCCAAATAGCAGCTCAAAAGCAGAGATTCACCAAAAAGAGATTATGCTGTCAGTCTGGTGGGATCACAAAGGGATTTTGTATTTTGAACTCATGCCGCAGAACCAAACGATAAATTCAAATGTGTTTGTTGAAGAACTCAAAAAAGTGAAGGATGCAATTGAAGATAAGCGGCCGGCATTATCAAATCGGAAGGGTGTTGTTTTCCATCATGATAACGCAAGGCCCCACACATCTTTGGTTACTCGGCAAAAATTATTGGAACTGGGTTGGGATGTTTTGTCACACCCACCATATAGCTCTCACCTTGCGCCTTCGGATTACCATTTGTTTCGTTCCATGCAAAACTCTTTAAATGGTAAAATTTTTAACAACGCGGATGATGTCGGATCAGACCTAGTTCAGTTTTTTTTAATAGCAAAGACCAGACATTTTACGAACGGAGAATTTTTACTCTGGCAGAACGATGGAAAAAGGTCATCGACAAGAACGGCCAATATCTAATTGAATAAAGTTATATTTTTAAACAAAAATTCCGAATTTGCCTTCTTATTTGAAATCGACAATGACTTAGTTGCCAACATAATAAATGTCAGACCATCAAAAGCCTAACGAGTGGTTGTTGGCTTTTTTCGCATTTTAGATTAGAAGAATTAGAGCAAGCTTTATTCCGGATAGGTCGCAATGGGCGTAACAGTATTGATCAGTGGTTCTCGCGAATGCACGAGCGGCTTGAGGCTTCCAGTGTCGGCAAGGACGTACATATCCATTCCCAAAATGATGATGTCGAGGAGGCGGGACCAGAAGCACCATCTGCCAAAAGAAAACGTCTAGGTCAAAATGTGGAAGGAAACTAGTCCATTATTGCTTTTTGTTAACGTTCTCCCTACACAGATCAGGAGTTTATGCTTGATTTGCTCCATCGAAAATGATATTTTGTTACAAGATTTGGGCATTGCATATTCGATCTCTCTTCTGTTTCAATGACTATTGCGGTTGGAAGAACGAATAATTCACACGAGGTTCCTTTTCCCGCCTTGGTAACATTGTGCACTGCAGAACCATTCTTCCGCTATTTAAAATGCACCTTTGTAATGATAAGATAATTAAGTTTCAGTGATAAATGTTAATCTTAAAAAAGATTTTGAAAATGTAGGAATGCTACCCTTTAATGGGCATTCGTCATCTTTATCATTTGACAGGTGTTATAATGAGTCAGGTAACCCTTTTACGTCAGATAAAAGATTCCTGTGGCTTCTGTCTAATCAGAGTTGATACATGGGCTCTGGAAGTATCAATTAAGTCCCTAAAAATACTCTCAGACCATTAGGAGTGGAGCTCACTTGAGTATATTGGGAAGGAAGGGCGATTTAGAAAAAAAATGCGAGAAATGGTTACCTTAGACAAACTTACACTTTGGAGCTGTGAACCCTTTTGTCAATCGCCCATTCTGGACGAAAGGGGCCTATTAGTTAGAAAATCATCCATTTTTAATGATATTTGCCTGTCTGAAATTCAGTAATTTCACAGTGAATGTTGATTCTCATCATGGCATTCATACCAAATCTATAGAACTTAAATTCTGTCGATAAAATTGAACCGAAGGCAGAATTAACAGAGAATACTACCCAGAACGAAAAATTCCAATCCGATAAACGCTCCACAAGATTAAGTCAACTTACTTACGAACTGATGTGGGAATTAAATTATTTTAGTGAGGAGATTTGAGCCCTAAGATACTACTTAACTACCAACGAGAGACAATGAGAGCAAAATGCCTGAAAATGCTAATTGGGTGATGTGGAATGGGAAGAAGTGTTTGTAAAGGTGACCGATTGAGTACATTATTCAACTTTGAGGATGAGAGAAGAAGCATTGCTTTCTTAAATGCAAAAGTAGACTTTCGCATACCATCTGTAAATTTTCCAGAATGAACCAACTCGAGCAATGAATAAAACTGAAAATGAGAAGTGATGTGAAAGTTTTAAAATTATCGACGAGTTCCTTTCGAAGTTAACTTAAAGTTCTCAAGTGCATCCTTTAATTGGTCATTGGCTGAGTAAAATGGAATGTCATAACGAACATATGTTGGTCTTGATATTTTGTATTCAAATGTTTCACCAACTGGTTAAAACTCACTTGAAGTCGCACACCCGAATTAGCCAAGTTCAAAATGTTGGTGCACTGACTCTACTTCCATTTTACTTCATTTGGCTAAAGGAAGACTATTTTACCAATGTCGTTGCACATGAGTGCTTGTGTCTGAGCCACTACCAAACGCATGGAAGGACGAAAACCCCATCAAATGTAACGTTAAGATCATTATTTCTCAATTAATATTTAATTTTCCAATCGGCTCTTCCCCATGGGTATTAGATTTAAATATTGCAACGATTCATTATTAAAGCACTGTGGTTTATCAGATATGCTCAATACTATCGCTTGTTTTAAGAATTGTCTAATTCATTAATGCAAGTATTTTGAAATGGGTTAGGAGATAGAAAATTGGCTCCTATGATAAAATGGCCCTGAGGCGTATGCCAGAATGAACAATAACTCTAGCTGTGATAAGATAATTATTTGATATAATACTGGGGCAATAGTGAGAACTTTCGAGGAGGTCAAGTGATGTCCAGTGGCCAATTTGTGTCAACTGTGAATAGTTCAGTCTTGTGTTTTTACTTGCTAATGTCGTCTATGAGCATAGTCCTGCCGGAAGCTGTTCCCATGCAAACAAGAAAGTTTATTGTCACAAATCGCTTGTTGTGACACATGAAATTTTCACCATTAAATATCTACCTACAATTGGTCCTATTAAAATCCCCCAGATTTTTAGTGGAGTTTTGATTTCTTTCTGTCAGTTGTAAGGTTCTCGGAGAAAACCCTCTATCCCGATAAATTTAATTGCTCTCTATGTGTCTATTCACGTGAATGTCGATCATATGAATCCCAAGTGTTTCAAAAGCATTGAAGGCCACTTTTTTATCGCGAGATTTCGCGAAATCCAAACGTGACAACAGAGAAATGACCAAAAAAGATCCCAATTCATCAGAACCTAGCAAAGCAGAAAAGAAACCTCAAAAATGTAATTTAAAATGCTGGCAAAAGAAAAGAAGAGAGAGCAGTGGTAATGAAAATGAATTTAGAGACCTGGCCAATGCAAGCCCTGAGACCCTAGAAATTTGCAAAAAACATCCTCTTCATTTCTGTGTATTTGTGTATATGAATTCCAATGAGGTAAACCATACATTTTATTAGCACCAAAACATCATTTTGGCTTGTTTTTTATCAACCCAAATGTTTTGTTTATCATTAGACTATTCTGTTTTTTGTATGACATTTAGGTTGATGATGAATTATACCCGTTCTTCCGCGACGAGTGTAAGGAGTTGGTGCTAACTGCTAAAATGGACGAAACGGTGCGCAATCGTCTAATGCAAAGCGCTGAAGTGCATGGATCCTCCGGTGATAAACGTTTAAAAGCCATAGAAGCCCAAACCGGATGTTCTGTTCGCTTAGGAAAGTTACACGGAATTCATTCTGTAATTAAGGGTCTTCCAAGACGACGCCTGACCATCGCAGGTCCATCTTATGTCCGCATTTCGCGTGCTTTGGCATTAATGGAGGAATACTACCCTCGCCTTATGCGATTTACTTATTACCCCTATCGCCTGCCACTAGAACTTGAAAATCCAAGCAGTAGTTATGCTCAAACATTTGATCATCACTCAATATCACCACAACCTCGTATACAAGGTACTATGAGCTTGAGTCAACACGTTGACGATCATTCAACCTGGCGTAAATATTACCATCCAAAGTAAATGGATTTTGTTTAATTATTTTCAGCAATAAACTACTCTTATTTCCACTAGGAAGGTACTTCTAAATGATTCATATCGAGTTTGCATGAAAATCGTTCAATAACTATTTCTTCAAGTAAAAATAGCCACGTACATAAACGGATCGGGATTTGGAGAGGATAAATGATCCTTTGCTCATTTATCTTTATACACTTACTTCTCTTGAGAGAGCAAGATTAATCTACGAATCTTCATGTAGGAAAACATTGAGATGCACTATAGGTGGAATTTCATTAAGAGGAAAGCAAGGAGTAGGAAATCAGAACACCTGTATTTCATTAGAGCTCTAGGGTCATCAAGTAAAATGATTTTTTTCAAGATATTATTCTTTAAGGTTTATCCTTTCTTTTTAACATTTTGTTCTACTTACGGGACATCTGAGTGACATGCCTTGTTGCAACTTTTGCACCATTTCCAACTTACCCATATGCTAGAGGACAATCATTGGGTTTTGTGTTGATCATTTAGACAATAATTTTTTATTTTAATTCTTTTTGCTAAGAGTCAATGATAGTGAGAATCCAAAACTATTTTTTACTAAAAGAACAATTTTCAATGGAATTGTATGGAGTTATTCGGTTATTGGTTTTCTTATTAGTATTGGAGTGCCAAATTTCGACTTTGTTCTTGTAGAACATCGACTTTGGTTCCACTTTGAGTTGCGATGATATTATTTTTATCACACTACTTAAATAACTAAGTAGTATGGCAAAAATAATGTGGGAATGCTTGCCTCTATAAAATTGCATGCAACAAAATTTATACTAATAATAACAATACTGGTTGATGGTTTTAAAATTGATTGCAGTAGAGTCATTTTAAAAAAGATCTCAATAGTTCGGAAAAAGTTCAATTTATTTTTACTGTGAAGTCTCTCAAAAATGAGAAAGTTCTGCCGGCGGAAAATGGCAATAAAGAATCTCAATTATTCCTCTTAAGAACGAGTGAGCATTCTGATTTAAATTACAAAGAAAAATAAAAATATTGGAATTAGTTTAAACGTGCTAACTGGTTATACCCGTAATTGTTGAACATAAAAGCTTACTTAATAAATATACATACATAGTATATAACATGCTTAACAATTCAATTATGTTAAGTAAAATATCATAATAAAAATGAATCCCTACAGAGATTTAAAGAACCTGAAAAAGCTTGGAATTCCTTGTATACGACTGGTAGCAACCACTTATTTCATTTAATAAAAGAGTGTTTTGGACAGTTTCCTTCACTAAATACAATGAGATTTGCATTTCAAAATTATGGAATTCATGCCATTATTAGAGATAGCCATCAAGTAGAAATAATTAATTTCCTTATCACAATGACAGTATTATTACACCATAGTGTCAGGATATTTCGTTAACTCGATTTCAAAAATTTCAAAGTGAGATTGGAATGGTATTTCGGAATTTGTTTAGGATTCTAGCATAATAATGCGTCATTATGTCTTTCATGACATTCAACGTCGTTTTTTTCCAACGAATCTCTGTATCAAAATATTGTGCTCGATTCAGTACTTTTCGAATATATCGAAATTTAATGAAGGAGTTGTATGCGCGTGTTAAGATGTTAACGAACGCGAAAGTAGCATTTAATCATAGGTAACAAAAGGGGGCTGGAAGCGTCGAGTTGAATATGTGAGACTTCAAATGCATATATTTTATATAACAACTAGATAGGGCGCGTTTACTCCTTTGATAGATGGCATCTATCAAGATAATGGCAAAAATTCTTGAAAATCTGGTATAAATTTAAACTCCAAAAGATGGCGTTATTGACAAGAATATTACATGTTTATGCAATTCAATTAGAAAACTAATTTATTCTAAATCCTTGAATTCTGTAAAATAAAAAAAACATATTACCCATTCAAGGAACAATTCATTTTATAACGATGTTTCCCAAACACAATTCCTCACAATGATGCTTTTGCAAGTGCATGGGATTTACTATTATCGGCTTTCTTACCAAATAATAAAACACCAGTTAAACCACACTCATAGTCTTAGTTTAAAAGTGAAAACGCTTATGGCATAGTTTTAAAACAATGAATAGATTCTTAGCTTAGTTTAATTGAATTAAATTATTTTGCCTTCTTTCACCACGGTCTTGAAAGTATCCAAATTAGACAATTTTCCAGCAATTCTGGAATTATGTGAAGTCAAGTTATAATAATTACTAAGATTTACTATTTAGCACAATGAAATATTAATTTGGAGTGTAAAGTTACTCCTGCCTTTCGCGAGTGAGAGGAACAAGAGTTAATTAGGGGGTCACGTGAACATCCGACAAATGGAAATGATTGATAGGGAAGGGTGGATGAATTCGAAAAGGGGAGTGAAAATAAGACACTAGTTCTGAGCGAGGGTAAATAAAGTTGAACTAGAGTCGTTGTGCAATTTCCTTTTCCTTTGTAATTGGCATTTAACTGACAGTTTGGTCAGAAACTTTGGTCAGTTGGTGAGCAACTACTGCGAGTGCAGTCATTATCTATAAGCATATGGTGTGTGATTAGTTATGTCAACCAGGCTAGATGTGGATAATATTGAAGGAATAACAAATTGATTTAAATAACACGTTCTCCGTCATGAGTAGCTTTTGGTTCTGCCATTTACAACTTCTAATAATACACTGTGAAAAGAAATTGTTAGGTTGGCGAGATTAGCCACTCTAATAAATTAATTGACCAATAAGTTCGTAATATCGACAGATGAAGATACTTGGAACAATTCATCACTAAAGAATCAGTTATAAAATAGAAGAAAAATTAATGAGGTCGAAACTCGAATAATAACACTTGGTGTCCTGAATTCTATTTAACCTCCATCGCCCTCCTCATTTCAACAATTCAGAAAAATGTTGCCTTGCCCAATATCCAACCGTGAAAGAAAAACCTAATATCTCTCACCCGCATGTTGCAAATGTTTAGACAATTTAAAAGAAAGCCATTCCACAAAGAAAAATTCGAACACAAATATGCTTATTATTGTTATTATTTGAATTTGAAAAATATTATTCTATAGTTGTGTTTTACCTACCAATCTGATTAATGCGTCACCTCCTTCTCTTAATAAAGCCTCTTCAGGTTCACTTCTCCAACAGGCAGTCCAACTTCACTCGTGTGTAAATTTCTTGAAAAGGCTCCTATTGCCTATTAGCTTTATGACTGCCATTCGTTCTTTGTGAAGACAACTAACTCAATTTAATTTGGCTCTTAATGTGGATTGCCGATTTGTGAAAATAACGACTTTAAGAAGATGATATATGCAGGTTACCCAAGCAACTGTAGAATTTAATCAGCGTTTCAACAAATTCTGAATACTGAAGAGGCAATACTGTTAACGGATTTTGGACTCAACTCACAAAATTTGGCATTAGGAGATTAAACAGTAAGGATTCAAGCCAAGCAGGCCTATTAATAATAGAAACTCAATATCTTCTGATTATCGATCCATTCACACGACTTCCATCCCTTTTTGCCTTATTTGAAATAGAAGGTGACCAACAGCAGTAATAACAGCAACCGCCTACGCTAGTCATCCTCGATTCGCACCAATAATTTTTTGCTGCTGAACTCTTAAACTAGAAGATGTTCTTAATTATCTGAAATGTGATCACAACTTTGAGGAGTGAATTAAGTTAAAATTAAATTTATGGGTAATTCCTATTACTTTAGTCACCTATCACGTGTCTCTGTGGTAGCTATTCGCTTTTGGGCTTTTAATGAAATACTATGAGGACTAAGATGTTTAGCTGTTGGTACTATCTGTGAATTTTCAGTATTTTAAATATTCCATTGACCTTAGGGGGAATTTAATGGTCACATGGAAGTATGCTTGACATTAAATTCGAAATCAACATGCCTCCAAAATTATGAAATGTAATCAAACAGGCCAAGAATACAAATTTTTCCCATTCAATGTACTAGTGAATAAGGCCGAAAACAAGGAATATTCTTGAAATAGTTGCAAACTATGGCTTCCCTCTCAACTTTTGAAATTTTGGTCAGGTACTCCATCATCATTACTTAACATTTCATACGATCATAGTCAGACAATTTTTATTAAAATCAATAGTGAAATTCTTTCGTTTAATTTATAATAATTAATCATGACTAATTGCCAAACTAATTACTTTTGCTCGGCCTTTGTAAAGATATGGAACCTTATGATAATGATAACACGAGAATGTTCCACATTTCATAGATTTCGAATCGACTGAAACCTAGTTTGACTAGAATCAAACTCTGATCAACAGCCGTTCACAACATAAATACTGGTTGATTTTATAATTCATCTGCATATTATCGATTTTTGAGAATCAAAGTCCCTTTCGAAATTTTACTTTTAACAGTCAAGATTATTGAAATTCTATTTTGCGACTTAAAGACCTCCGGTAAGCTATCTCATCCTCTGTCTAAGCTCAACTTAGCGGTCGTGGGCTTTGTTCGTTGTCATCGTAAGTTATCTGATAGGGCGAAAGCTGTCTAACCACTTAGACTTACTGCATATGACTCTCACTAGTCAAAATCTTTGTTAATCTATGTTATTGAAAGAAGCATCGTTTCGTTGTCGGCATCATGATCTCTGACATAATTCATGATCATTCCATTTTATCCATTTCAAGGGGCGTCATCAATCTACTACTTTCCACAAATCATGATTTAGGCGGAGCCTTCATTTCAAATGAGGCAATATAGCCGGATATGGGCAACTTCAGAGCCAAATTCCACTCACATTCATTGAGAAGACAAGCAGTGAAATCGCTGCTACCCTCTTAAAAGAAAGTAATTACTTTTTTGAGTTACATGGAAAAAGTACATAAGTTTCGATTTTTTTGCTATTTGGTTAATTAACAAAATATTTACAAAAATGCTACTGTCTTGATACCTTTCCTTCCTTCTTCTTTTCCATCACTTTTATTGCGTACTTAAAATAAAAATTCTTGTTTATAAAACT